CCCCAGGCTCCCCTCCACACTCGCCTGTACTCCATTCGAGACCACAAATCGAGGTCACTATTCTGGGTCGGGCGTCGCGATGGAATTCAAACAGCAAGTGCAATTACCATCCTGGCGCATGTAGACTTTGTTGCCGCTTTTGTATCGCGGGTGTCGTAGGGATTACGTAAACCAATTACCTACAAATCGGAAAAAAATATTCTTAAACGCGCAATTGCATGCATATATCTTGGTGCCGATCCAGAGTATACTGCCGGATATCGCTGTAGATGGGGACCCTTCACTAATCTAAAGTTTGTGAGTCCGAATCCCGATCGTGAGGTCCACTCAGCAATTAGTCTGTCCCTCTAGAGTTGGTAACGTGAAACAACTCTGAGGAATTTCCACCTCATGGCCATATAAGTACGGTATTGCTCATTAGACACGTCCACCCTTGGCTCCAGACGCTTCCCAGACGTATTCATATCCAGACAATTTTTTTTACTCAATATCACAAGTAACTCAACATTATCTTATGAGCCTCGGGGCGCATCTCACTTGGGCAAGTTAAACATCAGTCCGGAAGGCCCTCAGGCTGATTGACTGAAGGGACGAAAAAAAGCATTGTTTTCTTTGGAGACACCGACTTTAGTTTATTTATTTGTTTTACGCAATCAACGGGTTAGCTGGCCCGCCGCGTGTGCAGTCTCACGCTCCTGACCGACAGTTCCAGCTGCTGTTATCACAGCTGCTGTCAGATGAAATCACCTCGAGAGCAGCTGGGATTTGTTAAGACAGGTTACGCGACGCAATACTGTGTGTTGCCTTGAAAGGATAACGCTAACGATAATACTGTATACATTTACAGCTGATATTGTATACATTTACAGCTGATCTGGCAGTAGGGAGTCCTTTGACCATACTTCACCACGCTGGTCTTTTTTAGTTGGTTATAGTCGGTCTTGGGGTGGGGGGGGGCGTGTGGGCATGCAGAACCGACTGAGATATCACTCGTGGCTGGGAATGGAACTCAGGGTTCGTCGCGTTGCGCACGGACCACTGCACTTCCCCGCCCCCTCCAAGCAATAACCATATAATCCAATTACTTACACTGAAACACCTCACTGGCTGCTTGTTCAGGAGGGTCCTGTCTATCAGAGGCGAGCGAGCGAGAGAGACCCTGCGGTGATCACACCACTTTTGTCCACTCCAGCCAGATGCGGTGGATCGCGCGCAGCGATGGAGATAAATGAGCACAGCAAAGAGCCTGCAGGAGACAGCATGGCGAGCATGATGCGGACATTAGCTGTGGAGCAGTGACGTAGATATCAAGTGTGCAGACCGCACTACTGCATCGAGGCGCACGGGCCGGAGAGGGCCAGGCCTTATGGGGGGAGAGGAATTGAAGAGGACAGGAGGTCCCATTTCATTCCTAGCACCGGGAAGTCCATGCCAACCACGCTAAGGCACTGCTGTGGAGTGTGTGTGTGGAGTTTATTCCAGGAACTTCGGTCTACAAACCCAGACTACAACAAAACACTCCATTGCCATTGGGGTGTTTCCAGCCACATGCGCCCTTTGTAGTTTAGTGTGAGCCAGAACTGTGATCATCTCTTGCGACTGAGCCCAGTTGCATGGAAATAATGTGGTAATCATATGGAGTAGCTAAGAGAGTGAGGGAGGGGGCTATGAAGGCTATACAATTCGGGGGCACTCCATCTGACTTGCCCTACCGGCACCCTGCCTAAAGAGTGAGGGGCAGCTGTCACTTCTACCCCCATTGCTCCCACGGCCGACTTGCGTGGCCACGTAGATCGTATACTTCGTCAGAATTTTGAAATGTTTTTTTAGACCCCTGTGAGCAATTCACTGGAATGCGACTGATATCGTTAGATATCAAAAGCTATGCAGAAGTTTAGCCTGGATAGTGCTTGAATTGCTGGTCACCATACATTAAAAAAAAACTGATCTTGTAGGCTGCCGTAGGGTTACATTGTGGTCAGCAGTGGGCAGTCCCAAAAGGTACTTGTTGTACTATATTATATGCACCAACGTTTATGCTCCCGGCCTTGACATATGCATATTAAGCAGCGTATGGTTCAGATCATCACTACAACATGCACGGCGTGGGGAGGCCCTCGTCCAGCAGTGTATTGGCAATACAGCCTGTACACAGTGTGCATTTCCGATGTAGATACCCCTCTAGAGCTCTCTCTAGGGCAGACCTTTCCACCAGCAGTGGCGTGTGCAAGAAATTGCAGGACAACACCTTTACCTTTTAAGTTGTCAACTAAAGTTTATCCCTAGTGAAACATGTAACACGTCTGACACATTCAACAGTGACGTGCACTGACTTAGGGTGGGGGGGGGGGGTCGTTCGATATATTCAATACCAGACGCATTCTTGTGCACGTTACAAAAGAGAAAACTTGCACACATCGTTAACAGCTGGGCGCGCAGATAAGCCAACGCATGGTGGTTTATCCGAGCGAGCAAAGCATGGCAACTCTGCGGTTGATACATCAGCCAGACAACGGCTCTCTGCCAGCTGAGTTAAAATCCACGACGCTAAACCGGGGAAAACAATGGGCGCTCAGCATCATACGCAGCGCTATAATTATACATTTCCATCGGTGTTAGATACAAGGTGTTTTTTTTATGAAGACAATATGTGCTGTCTTGTTTTGGCGCTGATGCTATCCGGGAAAGCACCGGTGCCTCTACTACTATGATGATCATCATCATCATAGTAGTCGAGGCACCGGTGATCATCATCAGCCGTGGTCTATCCACGGCTGGATGAATGCCTCTCCCCAACTGCCGCCACCCCTTTATGATCCTGCGATTAAACAATAAGCCCACTTATTTTCCTAACAGTAAAACGTATATACGCAATCCATGTGCTCTTATTCTTAACTCCAAAAAGGTCAGGCGCAACTTACAAAAATAGATGACACCTTAGCAATGTGTGATGCGGCAGTACATACGGATAACTCCATAGTTGTACTATACTGCTATGCTACCACATTAATGCTCCCCGCCTTCACCAACCCTCACTAATCGGCGTGGTGACATATATTCGAATAATCCCCACGACCCGCGCGTGGCGTGGGGAAGGCCCCGTAATCCAGCGGCGAATTGACAAAAACACTCCCGTACACGGGCATAGACATCGTAACTTCAGTTTATGACCTGATGGCCGATTTTGAAATCTCTGATCTGAACGTCGCTCACTTGAGCCGTACCCTAATGTGCATCTGAGGAATTTTTTATTTTTAAAAAACTGTCTGTCCTGCACCTAAAGCAGTTTTACGCCCCAGCTACCCCCCCGCGCCTACCCCCCACAAATACGCACATCGCAACTTTGTTAGCCACGAAAAAAAAACGCAACCAATCTCATCGGCCCCGCTTTCAGATGGACGCGCACATTCATCAAAGCCCTGATGCACGCAGTTCCCCGTAATCGCGTTGTCATCCCATTATAAATGCGACGACGTGAAGTTACACATGAAATGTGCTGCCCTGGGCAAATCGCAGCCTACAAAAGGCGAGGGCTGCGATTGCGGGCCCACAGTCTGCGTTGAACTCGTAAGGAACATACCACGGTGAGTGTCGTGTAATTACGGTGTGTCAACCATCGTTATGTTCCTGGCCATTGTGTTTCCAATACTGGGACGTAAGGCGGAGGCATCGGGTGTACGCAGCATAGTGTGTGGGGAGCGGGATTGTAGCGGTTAGCGCGCTGCGCTCCGAAACCTGGCGACCCGGGTTCGATTCCCGCTCACGGCCAACACCAGTTAGGATTATCTGAACCGGTCCTGATTGATTCAGTCTCAAATGAGTACCTGGTACGGAGTGTTAATATCGCCATTGGGGAGACAAAGGCGGTCGGGTGTGATACTCGCCACCCACCGCTTTGTGCGCCATTCTGGTCCGCATAGGTGCTCGCTAAAAGCATTTTCCCCCAACAGTCTGTTAAGACTATGCGGGGGGGGGGGGGGTCTTTGTCTTTGGAGCGGTCGCGTGGTGGTGAGCGAAGTGCGCTGTGAACCTGGCTTAACTGGCCACTCGACTTCGATTCCTGGCCCCGGCTAACATAAATTGAAAATAATATCCGATTCGGTACTGAACCCTGCTGAGCTAAACTCAGCTGTAAATGAGTACCGGTGCAGTGTGTGAACATCAGCACACTGTTGCTGGATGAGGTCGGTTCACCACGCTGGTCAGTGCGGGTGGGTGAAGACGACTGAATGACTAAAAATCCAATTGTGTTTTGGAAGGGTGTAAAAGTCGAAACGTGGCACACATTAATTCCATGCTTAAATTAGAAACATTCCTAAAACCTAATATTTCGAAAATTGAAGGTTCCGAGGTTGATTGTTTTCACAAAAAAGACAAAGTCGGATTTACGTTCTAAATAGCGTTAACTCTCGTGTTAAAACACCACCCTCATCGTCCATGAAGCAGATAATTCCACTCTTCTTTCGTGGAGTGTGACGCTACAACAGATAGAAAGTCGGGAAAGCTCACTTCCCAGTATCAATTGCCTACATGGATTGTTTGGGCAAGTGCTGTTTGCGAGCAGTTAATTTAAGGCTGATTCGACCAGGGGGAAGCTCAGGACCGGTTCACATTTTAACAATTGATGTTAGCCATGAGCTGCCTACGGTTACTCGTATCAGACACTGGCATAAAGACAAAGATCCCCTTGTATAGCCTTCACAGACTGAAGGCCAGAATGGCACAATATTGGGTGGATGGCCAGCACCACGACCTAGGGGAGACCGGTTAAGATAATCGTCACTGTTGGCCATGAGCGGCAATCAAATTCGGGTTGCCAGGTTTCTTAGCGCTAACCGCTACATTACCGCTCCCCACTGGCACACACACACACATTCACATGAGATCTCAGATATATAACTCTGTGAATTCCACTTATGTGGGCCGTTCTCAACCGTTGTAAGTCGCTGTCACAGCCTCGAAAATTGTAACTGTTCTGGTTCTGCCCCCCCTCTACCCAGTCATGTCAAGCCAGACCAGTGCTGTGGGAGCCCTGCTGCCCGGTGGTCAGTTCAAGCTCACGCTGTGGGAGCAGGAGAACTTCCAGGGCAAGCGATGCGAGCTCACGACCGAGTGCCCCGGGGTGACTGATCGTTCCATCGAGCACGTGCGCTCCATCAAGGTGGAGTGCGGAGCGTACGTATCACACCCATCACCGCCCCTCCACTCACTTGGGCACATCGTGTTACCGGTGTTATTTTGCTACTACGCTTATTTACCCTGCAAAAACCTCACCGAGTCGCGCGACTCGGTGAGGTGGCTACGTACGGTGTGATAGAAGTTCAACATCCATACATAACAGCTGAGCTGTTTTTAGCACCTGAAAATGCTGGATGCAATCTCCAGCGGAAACGCCACGCAAAATTGTCAACATTTTGGATTGCTTTTCAACATTTCTCCGGATTGATGAGAAAAAAAATCAATTTGCCAAACTGTATTTGCCCACGTGGCAACTGGATTCGATTGGCCCTGTCGAGTGGTGGAGGGTTATAGTTCAAGATTGACATGACACCTACGACACGATCTAACCCGAAGGCACTAATTATAAATCCTGCCAAGTTGTCGCAGTTAGGTGGGGGAGCAATTATTGCCATCTATAGTCCCAATTGAGTCATTTGCGGGCAACTATTTGGGCAAATTTGCCCAAGATGCCAGCATGGCTGATAGTAACGGTTTCTTTCTCAAGGGAAACCCGAGTCACAAAGTCATATGGTAAATAAAACACATTCCTTGGTGATGCAGTAAATATGTAAACGTCTCGTATCACAAATTTACAGACCCTTGTAAATCCACTTCTGGATGACGGCCTCTCCCCCATTCCGTTTAGGTTCAGGCGTGACTTTTGATGTCGGTGTTTCCCCTGACCAGGAATTGAAGTAAAGTCACACGGTCCATAACATCAGGTTGGAATTTGAATGGAGCTTTAGAGAGTAGTGGGATTTTTAGTTTTCAATATACCTATGCATTAAAAATGTGTTGAAAGCATTTTATGAGGGTACTCGATGTTTTAAAAGGGGCTCTTAGAGCCTATGTAAATACATGTGTTGAACCGCCATCCAAATACCTCAAGGTGAGGGCTATTTGAAGTGAGCTGAGGGTGCCGCATCTGTTTATGCACCTTCTAAGATGTATGGACATGACATTAAACAGCGCCTCCCGTTCAAACCAATTCCCAATTGACTTCGTCACAAAGCATGGAAAACACTACTGCTGTGCGATAAATACCAGCTGTGCGTGTATACATATATTGAGATTGACCCGGCTTCTTGAGTTAGTTCGATTGCCGCCCACGGCTAACATGAGTGGTTGGTGAGTGACATCTGAACCTATCCTAGGTTTACTCCTCTCAGCAACCCGTACTGACCATCATGGTGAAGCATGGTCAAACAAACCCCATTACTGACACGGAATGGGTAGGCTTTCATCCAGCCGTGGATGAAAAATTACACAACGATGTGAACAGCCATTGCCCTAAACGTCGCTTATTATATATAGTTTTTGCCTTTAAGGCAGTGTTATTGACGAATGTGTTGAGATTTAATGGAAAGGGGGCTGGCTACGTGCGCTGATAGCCGAGGAATGTGACCGTTATTATGCTTAGCAAGATGAGACAACTCACACACAAACCTGTTAATCCGCTTTCCTGCAATTGCCGACAATCGCAAGTTTTCTAAAGTTCTATCCCTGCCAACGTCTGCAGGTCAAAACCCATGCGCATGTTTCTGAAAAATACATTGTATTACGAAAGGCTAACAAATAAATGCTCATTAAAATAATAAATAAAATACATCGAGTCTCCAGCATGTACTTGAACCTATAACCCAACATATCATGTTTAAGTGAAATATGGGCTCGCTTACAGAAGGCGGAGTATATGAAGAGTAATGAAAGTGGCAGCCAAGTAGCGCGTCCGATTTCCACTGAAGTTATGGGACGATGAAATCGGCTCGCGTGCGGATAGGGCGCTACGTGGATTGTTCAACCATCGCAGGACCGTGAGAGATGGCGATGGTTTGGGGAGGGCCTTCATCCAGGCACTGATGGTGTGTGTGTGTGTGCGCAGATGGGTGGGATTCGAGCACCCGGAGTTCCAGGGCCAGCAGTTCGTGCTGGAGAAGGGCGACTACCCCATGTGGCAGTCGTGGAGTGGTAGCTGCGCTTACCGCACGGATCGCATCCAGTCATTCCGTCCCATCAAGTCCGCGGTACGATATCTCTCTCTCTCCATATCTTCCGTCATTGCCCACCCCATAACTCCCCCTCTATCTAGCTCCTCATTCCTCACTCTTACATGCGCATAAAATATAACGCTGGATCTGTTAGTGTGAAACGCGGAACTGCTAAGCGTTCGGACAGGCGTCTAAATTATTTGTTTAGTCCTGCCTCGTCTTATCGAGGATGATAAGTTGGGTTGAGGCTGGGTAGAGTGCTTGGATTGGCGATCCCCGTGTGCAACAGGTTGCTATAGGCTGCTGCGGGCTGTTGAAGAGATGGGACAAAGCTATTGCACAGTGGCCGAAACTCAAACCGGGATTGCGTCTGGGGTAACGGCACTGAAAGTATCGGCTGTTCAATGAAACCCTCCTTAGACGACGGATGACTTATTTATAAAGATAACAGAACTCGCCATACCAGACGAAAATAATTATATAGCCTCGTTTACCCAGGAAAGCCTCACTGGACGCCCATACTCTTTTCAGGAGGGTTCTGTGTTTCGGTGTTTGACTTTGGTTGAGCGTAAACCGGAGAGACCAGAATAAAAACCCGCAACGCATAGCAAGTGAAAACCCATACTCGGCACTGCCATCTCCTGGTCACGCCTCGTAGCCTCACGCAAAACAACAACACCACCTGACCAGCCCTGGTGGTGACCCATCCAAGCAGGCGTATGAATCGGGTGCATGCATTTCTGCTTAGATTCAGAGGTGCAAGGAGGTCAAGCTCAAAGGAGACAGGCACATGGTTACATCCTATGATTTCCTTGCTTTTCGTGGATAAATGACAATAAAAACAGCAAATATTTCTAACGTAGCTCGACACGGCGCGGTTTGGTTTGAACTGTAGGATGGGAATTTTAACGCTTCCCTTTATAACCGCCCCTTCCCCCCCCCCCTCCAAATGCCTAACAATCCACTCCCACAGAGGCCTCAGCACCTTGGAAAGCGGCGTTGGGGAAGGGGGAGGGTTGGAGGGGTATGTCGGTTCTGCCATTGATACCGGGCAGTGAGTGGAATTGCGTATTTACTGACACATTCTTTGGGTCTTTCGGGAAAGCCACGTAAATAGAACAAATAATAAAAAATATATAACATAACGATATTGTTATTTTTATCATTTTATTATTTGTTCTATCTCCGTGTCTTTACCGAAAGACCCAAAGAACATGAATTCCTGCAGTCACGAAAGCTTTACGTCAAAGATTTATTTACTGACAGTTGAATTTGCCCTCCCCTCCCGTTGGTTTTTGCTCGTACTTTACTCAATGCCTCCCCCTTTCCGTGCCGCGCAAGCGCAGGCCCACGGGGAGAGCAAGGTGGTCCTGTTTGAGGGAGAGAACCTGCAGGGCCGAAAGACGGAGCTCTGTGACGACTGCCCTTCGATGCAGGCAATGGGCTGGAGCGCGCGGGAGATCCAATCCGTCAAGGTCAACAGTGGCGCGTAAGCATCTCCACCGCACCCACTCGTGTGTCCACCCACAGGGACAGCACACAGACATCACTCGTGTGTCCACCCACAGGGACAGCACACAGAGGCCACTAGTAGGTCCACCCACAGGCACAGCACACAGAGGCCACTCGTGTGTCCACCCACAAGCACAGCACACAGACGTCACGTGTGTCCACCCACAGGAACAGCACACAGACATCACTCGTGTCCACCCACAGGGACAGCACACAGACGTCACGTGTGTCCACCCACAGGCACAGCACACAGGCGTCACGTGTGTCCACCCACAGGGACAGCACACAGACATCACTTGTGTGTCCACTCACAGGGACAGCACACAGACGTCACGTGTGTCCACCCAGAGGGACAGCACACAGACGTCACGTGTGTCCACCTATAGGGACAGCACACAGACGTCACGTGTGTCCACCCACAGGGACAGCACACAGACGTCACGTGTGTCCACCCACAGGGACAGCACACAGACGTCACGTGTGTCCACCCACAGGGACAGCACACAGACATCACTCTTACTGCAAATGGTCATTCTCGCAGGCGAGGCTATACTGGTCTCTTTGTTTTATCATCCGGTTAAACAAAATACACTTGGCACATCGATTCATCAGTTAATATGTAAAAGAAAGTTTTATTTTTCGAATCCTAAGTACCCGTCTCGCTCATAGGTCAGAGCGCTGATCTGGACCTGAGTTCGAATCCATGCAGCCGTCCCTAATTAAACCAGGTGTACGAGTTGATGGGCTCAGTCTTGCTAAAAATGATTGCACACGTAGATCATTAAATACCAATTGGATGTGCACTAAAATTTACTAAATACCATCTCTGAATTATAAGTATTGGTGTGACGATCATTACACTCTGGCAGAGCGGTGGGAACAGAATGCCGCGACTACATGGACCAATAGCAACGTGAATGGATCTCAAGAGCTAATGTTTAGCTTCCGCCGATCTCAAGAGGTTGGGCGCATTCCAGGTCATTTGATCAAAGGCGCTAATGATTCATCATTGCCGTTGAAGTATTTCGAATCGCTGCTACATTTGGATGCTTTGCACATTGAGATTGATCGTGTTTCCGTGAGAGTTATCGCGTTAAACAAGGCAATTAACGCAATCAAGCGGTAAACAAGAGACAAGCAGTAAACAAGCAGTCAAATAATGAGTAAACTGGAAGCAAACAAACATCAATCAGCTAGAGGCCGCGTTCTTTGTAATTGTACTTTTCGCGCACACATGCCTACGCGTGATGTTTCCCAGATGTTACTCAAAGCATCAACTCAAATGAAGCTTGCTCATGCTGTTCGGGTCGATCCAGATACAAGCACTGATTGTATCTGCATGCTCTCACACTCTCCTCTGCGCCCGGACCTCTATTCCCCCAAACTCTGACCCTGAACTCCAAAACAAACTTCGCCTACCCCCACCTCATACTACGGCCGAAATCTCTTCACTTGAAACCACCCTGGACCACCCAATTCGATCAAAGCAACTGCACACCCCCTCCATCCACTACATTACCCACCACCCACATGATTCACCCACTCCATTCACCCACCCCGACAGATGGGTTGCGTACCAGTACCCGGGATACCGCGGATACCAGTTCGTGTTGGAGCGCGACCGCCACAGTGGGGAATACAAGAGCTACAGCGAGTTCGGCAGCCAAGCGCACTCTGGCAACATCCAGTCCATCCGCCGCATTCAGCACTGAGTCGAACTGGACAGCCCCGCCAGTCGCACTCACCCCATGCGCCCTCTACCTACACCTGCCCGCATGGGGTGGATGGTGATCTTCCCGAGTTCAAGGCACCCTGCTGATACACCTGCCAGGGTTTGTGGGTGATCACCTCCCTGAGTCCTGCCTGCCTGCTATTACTGCGTGCAGTGCTGTGTACTTGGAGCGAAACATTAGAACGATCAAGAGCAACGTTTTTCAGACACGCAAAAGCTGGTGGGTAGTAGTTGGCTTACATATGGCGACTTAAAGCATGCGGTCACGCGAGTTCAGTTCAGCCCCCTTAATTTAATTTGGGCCAGAGCCTACAGAGGCGCAGTTATCTTTTGCGAGATCTGGAATAAAGAGCAAACGAGGCTGAGACAGCCTACAGGTCGACTTCTCATCCGCAAATGATTTGCATTCCGCACAATACGAGAGAAAACAAAAAAAGCATTCTCTCCATGGACTAGAACTATCAATATCTACACCTTCATTATCGGGAGCACACCGGCATCGCCAAATACCTGCCGATCTCCTACGTGGAGGTATCTTGAACGTCAAATCAGATTCACTTGAGACACCGAACGTACATAATTATGGTGTAATTGCCACATTAGTTTGAATCTCAGTTGCATCTCTCGTACACAAATAACACAACAGAACACTCCACGTAGCATGGATGGAATGTCTAACGCCATCACACGTAACGTGCTTATTGACTGTTACGTGGTTTGCGCATTTGTCCCTTGGGATGATGAATGTCAAGATATTATTGCGTTCATGAAGTTCAGGCGTTTTACCTCCCTGCAGAACATCACTCGCTGTGCGGATGGAATCTCATTATCTTAAACTTGAACGATCAAAAGCACCCACCCCCCAATGCACGTCAAAGCTTAAGAGCACAGCGAACCTTATTTATAAACACTCCTGGTGCAAATGCAGAAATGCAATGAATAGCGGCAAATTTTTGCACGGCTCCAATTAAGCAAATATAACGCTTCAACGTAATTGGTAGTGGGCGATAATACGAACTGCTGTGTCAAGACACTAAAGACGTGCAAGAAATCCCGTCAGTGTTGCATGTCACGCGTTAGTACCATGCTTGAGTGCTGCTTGCAATATATTTCTGTTATAACACGTGATGCTTAATAAAGTTTTATCAACTCACAGCGGATGAGTTTCACATCATTTCAAATGTTTAAGTGTACATTTGCTAAAAATCATGTGTTGTTGGTTGCAGATGGGAAATGCTTTTTGCACAGGACAATTTTGTTTAATCATATAGGTACCTTGGTATTTCAGGACAGGTGCTTCCAGACAATATCCAATTATTGTGCCATAATACAGACCACACCCGATCATTGATCCATGAGGAATATTTTCAGTGGCAGGCCGCAATAAAAATGTGGGTTTAGCACATCCTATATACATCCCTGGAGTGTGCAATGTTTTTATTAAACCCGACAGAATCCAAAAATAGTCAAACCCATGTCAACAATGTTATAAAACAGAGCATTATTCAAGTTTAAACATCTTTCCACCTTATTTCATGCACACTTGACAATTGTGTCCGATAGTGCAGCCGAAAATGTCAACAGTCACTTCACAATCTGTTTTGTCAAAAGTGTAAACATTCTGCATCTCTTGCGTCACTTGAGTGGTTATGTCACGTAACAAGGTGTCTCAGGCTTTATAACCTCCGACACTCAACGGACTATGTTCCAAGGGCATTCCAGATGCACATACACTACCTAAGTCGCGAAAACATGTAGGCAAGCATACGATCCCATCACGAAAAAGAAATAAACTTTGACTTAAAGCTTTCGTGACTGCAGGGATTCATATTCTTGGTTCTTTTGGTAAAGTCACGTAGAAGGGAAACAATAAAATAATACAAATATAAAACAATAAAATTCTCACAACGTTTCGACTGCAATACCTCATGATGATTGCTTGTGTTGCAGTCGAAACGTCGTGATAATTTTATTGTTTTATATTTTTTTATTTTATTGGTTCCCTTATACGTGGACTTTACCGAAAGAACCAAGAATATGAATCCCTGAAGTCACGAAAACTTTAAATCGAAGTGTAAATAGTTATTTTTTGTCTTTTCTTTTGCCACCCTGCTGACAATAAATTGCAAAATAATGTGCTCGTTCCAAATTACAACCACTTCTTACACTGACAGAGCATCTCCACTCCTGACTTTCACAACCCCACCAAAGCCCTTTACACTGTAGAAACACATTTTGGACATCTTGCTAGAACTTTATGGTTCCATCCTAATCCCGCAACTTGGTTTCTGCAGCAATATGCTGCCATGCAAAGAGGTAATATGGTTTTATTATGCTAGGTAGGCAGTGGCTGATTAAACCGGACATCCAATTACTGCCAGGATTTTTTAGGGTAGGACTATCAATTTGGTTATGAATGTAAAACGTCTTTTAGAACCATATGCCTTGGATCCACATTTTTGGCGTGACATTAACAATACGGGTATATACAAGTATGATTGTCTCAGCCCATCAAATACTTCCACAAACCAGTTCCCAAAAATCATCAAAAGTATTACCACAGTCACAGCTTATGTGCCACTACCGCTACGTTCTTTGGTCCGGATAATATTACAGTTAACGACTGTGTTTTAGACAGCTTAAGTGCCGGGAGCCTTGCATAGAATTAAAACAGCACTAATGAGGACATCATTGAGAGTGCATCACAACGCTCTAGGCCCTCTCCTTGAAGAGCCAGCGCTGGCGGGTGTTGCCGTCACAGGTCCGCAACAGCGGCAAGGGTCCAGAGTTGGGCTGTTCCACTGCCTCCAGGCACTTCTGGGTCAATATGTGAAAGATGGAGCCATCCTGATCCAAAAAAGACAAATATGAAAAAAATGCACATCGTCAGATATTTTTTTTTCTGCTCAAACCTTTTCAATACATTACAGTCCATTACGTTAACTGAAAGTAAATAATAGTAAATAATCTATTTATAATGTGCATAATGCCAGCAATACAACTTTTAAACAATACTAGCACCCCAGCCAAGTATAATACACATATAATTAAAGCTTTACAACACAGATGATCTTACCTCCCTGAAGTCAAACTTCTGGTTTTCTGTAACAGGACTGTTCTTGGAGTGACAATAATACATGGTAAGGTAGTCCATTCCATTGTCAACGGCTGCACATGCTTCAGGCTGCCGTGTATTGTACCGGATCTCTTGCTCAGACGTGTATTCGAAAAACTATACACCAGAAACAGAGACAGCAGCTCACTTATAAATGTACAGCGTAAGCCCTTAAAAAACATGTAGCTCATGCTGTGTAAAGAGTTATTCTGTCTTTTGAAAAGCTGCAGAGAATAACAGATCAAATAATAAACTTGCCTGGTTTTGGCCCATGCCATGGCATCCGTATAAGATGATCCTTTGTCCCGTCACCTGATTCTCATCTGGAGGGTTGTAGTCAAAGCAATAGTTGCTCAGACCCCGGTTTTTCAGCTGGTGAAAATAAAAAAAACAATAATTGGGTGGGTTACTAAGCTTTCATACAAGTGAGAACATTACTTTATGATACATTAAGGCAATTCACAACAATAACTTGGAAAATAAAAGTTCGCCCTACCATGCCAAATTTCCCTGGCCGGTCCTCTGGCACGTGAATGTCAGGGTAGACGTTCTCCAGGAACCACTTGAAAGTTTTGCACTGCAGCCGCTCCCGCAGGTTCCTCCGTTCTGTCACATCGCCAAATGGCTCCTGTCAATGGCAAAGACAAACTGTGAGGCAACAGGAGGCCATGGACAAGTGCATCGCTATGCAGATGGTAGGATTTAAGGTTATTTCGAACCTTATCTAAAGTAGCTCGAACAAGATATTATCTAACACAACTGATTGTAGTAATGCAAATGAATGGCGAGTTGGTTGTTTTATTTCCTTCCACCCGAATAACACAGAGGAGCTTTAACACGTAGGCTTTCGCGACCAATATCATCCAAAATAGAGGTTTTTGGGTTAGATCGCGTAAATATATAAATGTGTCGTTAAGACTTCTCCACAAATCTGGCTGTCGCCTGATGAAGCTAGTTGTAATTACTGGCGAAACGTACTCAGTTTGTAAATGTTGTGGCTTGGCTTTCCAACACACCGGTGTGCTGTACTAGTACACTACACTATACACTACTATACACTACACTATACACTACACTATACACTACACGCTAGTGCTATACTAGTGACGAATTGGCCACGTTCTGTTTACGTGACAACCCTTACTAGTTGGCTGTGTCGGGTGGTGGTGGGTTTTAACGACACATTTATATATTTACGCGATCTCACCCAAAAACCTCTTATTATGGACAGAGGAGCTTTTCTTCAGCTTTACGTGCAACCTGAGGCGCAGAGTGCTAAACTTAATTATTAAGCTATGTTAGGCTTTAAGAATCTCTGCAGAATGAGCACCTTTTACGTAGGCACAAATCACCAAGTCGAAGCAGTGTGCTTATTCATACGTTTGATACCGCCATTCAAATTAAATTAAAAGGTGATCAAATAATCCCACTACACAATGCGTCTCGTATTTAAAAAAAAAACACACACACACAAACATGATTGCATTTGGCACAACGTTACCATTCTGGCATGTGGGTTTCTGTGGTAGTACAACTCCTTGTAGCCATCCATCCAGACCTCAGCGGCACGTACACTGTTGGCCAGCGCTTTGCTGCGCGAGTAGGGCGCCTGCTTGGGGAATACGTGTCCCACATGCGAGCAGGGGTGGACCTCCAGGGTGCCACCGCACTGCCAGATCTGCAGATTTAAAAAAAAGCAGCATGGCGAGGTATGGTCAAGCAGCCCCTATGACCCGCAGGGCATGGGGGAGGCCCTCATCCAGGAGTGGTTCGATAAAGGGCCAGGCATTGACACGCGTTCACGACTGCATGCGCAATTTATTAAATGAAAGACAGGAAGATGAACGGCCCGTGCATGTTTTACCCGGAATGAAAACTCCAAGTTCTCTCCACCCCAGACTTCCATTCCAGTATCGTATGTTCCCAGGTAATCAAAATATTTCTTGCTCACAGCAAACAGCCCGCCCGCCATCGTCGGGGAGCTGCATCAGAAAACATATGGAGAGATTCGATGGCTTTTGTTACAAATTACGACACTGAGCAAACATCAGTTACTCAAAAAATTATATAAAAACTTACAATTATTTTGAAACGTAGTGTTTACAAGATCCGGTCCTCCGCAAATGCATCGCTTCCATTTCACAGATATTTCAAGAGAAATTTTGTTTTAAAATTCCTCGCTATTCCCTTTTTGCCGATACTTCCAGTAAGGCAAATCTCAATAATAAACAAAAACAGCACATTAGATTCTGGAATTATTTTCAGACTCAGAATCATACTTTTTACTGTCTTGGTGGACTTCAGGCTATAAAATTATATATATACAGTATAGTTATACTGCCAGGGAAGACATTTAACTCATTACTGTATTGTGGATGTGAGGTGTGGCCAGGAGATGGCAGTGTTGATTATCACCCCTCTTGTAAGCGTGAGTTTTCTCCCACGTTAAACATCCCAATGCAGGGCGGCGCACGAGACAAAATAGCACTGAGACTAAGTGAGGCTTTTCTGAGTAACTGATTGTCATTATTTTATCATGCTGAGGAAATACTTATTTATACTGCTCAGTAAACTTAAACAGTAAAGTTTGCATACGTTTCAAGATTAACCTCAAGAGACTCGGGACAGCATTGTTTACATCCGGCTTAGTGACAGGGCAGCTTGCGCCATACCGTATGACATCGATGGGCGATTTGCGCCGTTTCTGCTCGTGTCCCGGCACCGTGTGCCACGTGAACACGAGGCGCCAGTCGAAGCCACCAATCTGCGGCTCGCCCGCATTTCCCATGTACTCGAATGTGTTCCACTCGATGACGTCGATCACCGGGCACACCACAGCCGACTCCTCCTCGGCTATCCTGCGTCGCGGCAACATCAGGCAAAGTCGGAATGTGTCATGTCACGGGGTACAACACCACTGTGGGCGCAGAAATAAAAAATGCCCGTTAAGCATACTTATTTGATACATTGTTTGCTCAGATACCTGCACAGCAGAGAAAGAAAACGCAGGAGTAGATACCAATATATTTAGATTGTTGGTCACTTGCATCTATGGACAATCATTTCAATGTCAACATTCGTCATAAGGCATGCTCCTAATAAAGTTAAAGTGTTATCTAATGAGTGTTAACTTTAACTGCAACGTCTATTTCTGAATCAGCCCTCAGGGTTTATAGAGCAACAGAATAAACTACTTACTAGAAACAATTAAAGTACTTTATAAGTGAGAAACATGCATCGGAAGTGAGAGGACCAAGTGGCTTTTGCTGAGCAAACACCAGGCAATGCAGAGAAAAAAAACTTTAGTCGTACCAACGTATTTACAGGGCTAATGTAATACATTATTTGTTAACCCACTCATTTCATGCAGTTATCACAAAATTCGCTGTTATTGGCCACACAACGAAACTGGAACCGTGAAAGCTATGCGGTACAGGCAAAATGAAACCCCTACACTCTTTGGTTCTTTCGGTAAAGTCACGTGGGTATAAAATAAAATAAATCGAATCACGACGTTTCGGGCGCAACACAAGTGCCCGTCATCAGGTGGAAGCACCCGCAGCAATAAACAAATTGCTAAAGTGGGCAAAAGGAGGCTGCCTGTCACAAGCAGCCTCCTTTTTATATTCTTAGCTCTTTCGGTAAAGTCACGTTGAAGGGAAACAATAAAATATATTTTTTATTATGTATATTATATTATTTATTATAATTTTATTGTTTCCCTTCAACGTGACTTTACCGAAAGAGCTAAGAATATGAATTACTGCAGTTACGAAAGCTTTAAATAAAAATTCAGCCTCCTTTTATTGCTGCGGTTGCTTCCACCTGATGACGGGCACTTGTGTTGCGCCCGAAACGTCGTGATTTAATTTATTTTATTTTACACCCACGTGACTTTACCGAAAGAACCAAAGAGTATGGATTGCTGCAGTCACTAAAACTTCAAATCTAAAATGAAACACTGTATCCGGCATCCGGTCTGGGGCTCATGGGACCAGCAGTACGCGCACCTCTCCAGCAGGGGCTCCAGCCAGCCAACGTGGCATTCGCAGTGGCAGTCGAGGAAGGTGAGCACGTCGCCCGTGGCCACGCCGGCGCCCAGCAGGCGCGCCCGCACCAGCCCCTCCCGCTTGCGCGCTCGCACGAGCCGCACCTTGCGCAGCGTGGCGATGTACTGCTCCAAGCGATCGCGCAGATGCTCTGCGCGAACACAGCCAACGGTGGGGCGGAGGTGCGGCGTGAACACCTCGCACAACGATGGCACGATCGCAACGCCACCGTAAAACGTCCACACCCAGTCCCGGTTGTATTTCTGTTGTTGTCTTTGTCATTCACAACCATTAAGTAAAATCTCTGAAACAAAAAAAAACCCTACACTGTTTTGTGCGCGACCAAGTAGCCTGGCAGTACTGGTTTGCAAAGCAGACATGAACCTGTTTAAAGTTTTTATCAGCATTGTGCAATCCACTTTTATGAATGCCAACCTGGCTACGTTGTGATGTCAGCACGCTCCGTAATGACGTCGACATCAACAATCCTATTTTCTAAATTAAGCTACCTTGTAATACCAACGGGTTGTCTCAGACTGCGATAGAAACGTGTACATGCATTGTCCCACAGTCAACATGTACAGAGCTTTATCAATCCACTGCTGGACGACAGCTTCCCCACAACGTGTAAGTCACGTGGGTTATTTCACCATACTTCACCGTGCAGGATAGTAAGGGTTGGTAAAGCTGGGAAGCATAAACCTGGAACCATAGAAGTACAATACAACACTTGATTCTTCTGTGCACAGCCCTCTGCTGCCAAACAACACAGCCTCGCAGCACGGTGGTCGCCTATCAGGCACTATCCAGGTTAACTCCTGCTTAGCTCCTGAGATCTGATAAGGTTGGCGACATTTTCGATGTCTTTATAAAACGCACAGCCATCATGGGTTCTCGTAAGTAACTAGCTCACCGCGATCGCTGTAGTCATCCACCAAGATGATCTCATTGAGCAGCGCGTCTGGGGAGGTCTCCAGAACGCTGTGCACGGTTCGCAGCAGTGTTGACCACGCCTCATTGTAAAAGGCGATCACCACCGAGGTCGTGGGCAGCTGCCGGTAGTTGTACTTCTTTTCTCTGCACCTGCAGTGGTATACGGGACAGAACATTCCACTTGCTTGAGAACGGTGGCCCATTTTTCAGGACAATCAAAGCAAAATACTGACTACTATTCCAGTAACTCTTGGCGCAGACGATTTTTTATTTTACTAATGCAAAACCGTATCAAGTCTTACATTTTTTTAAGGGGGGGGGGAGGGCGTGAAACGTGCATGTGTATTGGTTGCAGAAGAATAGGAGATGTTTGAGGATTTTTTTTATTCTTACAAGATTAGAAAGTCTGGCAGTGGTTTTCTGGACTATTTGGTGTTTTGAGGTGAAAGAATTGAGAAGAGCTAGAGGAAAAAGTCGCAGTTGTCTTGTGGAGATATGAAGATACGAATGAGCATCTCAGCAGCATATTCAGAAAGTAAATGGCAGATGTGGAAGATGTTGCATGGGTGTAGGTAGGTCCTGCATGGTTGAGAACTAAAAAAATTATGAGTCTTAGAAATCCAATGCTCTATGCATGCATAATGTGAAAAGTTTAGGAGGCGCACACTTAATATGGAATATAAACGGAGTTCAGACTTGTCGCCCGCATTAAGATAGGATGAGAGGATTAAGATGCAACCAGGATGTCAAGCATTTTCAAGGATGTCATAGGTTTGTGTACACATATCTAGCAGAAGGTCAGTTAAGCACACAATGTAAGTAAATACAAGCATGTCAATTGTGAGAATTACATTAATATCAATTCTGTAGCAAGTTGTATACTATAAGATGCTATCCAAAATCTCCTTTAAGATAGAAATGCTGACATACCACATAATTTTCATAAAAAGGGGGAACTATATGCATACGACCTCGGCCTTTTAAAAACATACAAATATATGCATTTGAAATATATTTAGCATCCAACTTGCAATAAAAAAATTACAGTTATGCATTCATCACATAATTTTACTTAAGTGGTGTCCTGCTTAAAAGTGTGAATCATAATTTTGCATGCATTACACAGGCAAACCAGAAGGCTTGTAACGATTCACACAAGCCACATTGAGTTGACCAACTGTCACTGTTAAGGGTCTTTCTTATCATCCATTAACATAAGTGTATTTGCATTAAATTTACATACGTATTTTAGTTTTCTAAAAAAAATTTTACTTATTGTACTATAGATATCATGTCATAAGTTGAAGTTATCAGTATAGAACTCTCCTAGAACAGTACATCGACCCATTTTAGTGAATAGGATGCATAAGGGGATATCACAAAAATACTTGCGATAATTCTTAACTTTACCTCTTTCGTCAACACTGCACTTTTCCCACACCTTTCTGCAGAGAAATGATTGCCACACGGCAGTCAAACCAAGATTCTTCCTTCACAGCGCAGTCATTTGTAAAAGGGCTCTGCCCATCAACTCACTACACTTGAGAACCTGGTTAAATCACAGGTTGTTACTCAGGACATCAGTGGAAAAGCAGCTGAGTAGTCTGACCATTGATCCACCTAAAGTAGTATATTCTTGCACGATTCAGTACAAGCATATACAATCAATTGTAATGAATGAATCATGACAGGCCTGTAAATAAGTATATCAACAATGCAAAAAAATACAATCCCGAATGCACACACGTGAAGTATGCCCTATGCGATGAATGAAAACTCGCGGCCGTCACACGCACACCACCACACTTACAGCGGGTTCCACTTCTCGGGCAGCTGGCGGTGCAGCGAGATGCGGTCGCTCACGTAGATGTTAATCTGATGCTTGTTGATGCTCTCCTCCTCCTTGCGCTTCTCCTCGCCCTCCAAGTTCAGGCGGACGGCTTTCCCCATCTCCCCCAGGGCATTCGAGTCCAGTGGTGGCTTCTCGTACACTGGTCTCTTCAGCAACTCATAGTCCGCCTCCGGGTTCGCGACCTCATCCTGCTTTTGGATTTGATTCTGAACCTCCACGGGCAAAACCACTCCTCGTTCCTCGCGCGCTCTGCCCTCCCCGGCATCCGTTTTCCCCCCGTGGCCTGACGCGAGGAGGTAGAACACAAACAGGGCGCCCGCCGAGCACAGCAGCGCCACGTACCGAGCAGAACGGCGTCGCCCGAAGACCGCCATCAATGAATGCAACCTCGAGTCTGTCCGGTTTACTCCACTAGGCTTGGTGGCACGCTCGCGGTATGCAGTGTACGCTCAGTGCAAACGCACAGCTGTGGGGCATCACACCACCATCGGCAGTGCAAAACGGCCTGCTGTCATAGGGGGCGTCTGTCCACGTGTTTGGTCATTCTGTAGAGAAACAGCAGAGAAAGTTTGTTAAACAAGGCGTACCAATGCATAAATAACCATGCTTAAATAACCTTACAGCATTTAAAGACACACACACACACCACTGTATGACTAAGATAAGCAGTCAAGTTAAAGGGTCTTCAAATTTAACAAAGCACCCGGACGGTGATAATCCTTCACTGGCAGGTGCCAGTCTATCGAAATGTGTGCTTTATAAACAACAGCAAAAAACCACAGTCCTTACACGCAAACTCGGCAGAGCGCAAAATGCAACGCTCCCGAATGAGCCGAATAGAAAGGATCGTCTGCACTTAAGAAAAGCAATTCGGTGGCAGAAGTACACGGATACGAGGCCCTTCGGGTGTTCTGTATTTGCAACACCCTTACCAATCTGCAGGCAAACAACCCACTTCACACGCACCGCCGCAGCAGATGGGTCCACTTAACGTTACCACGACCGCCTGGTGATCGAAGCCCTCAAAAGTGTTGAGAAGACCTCTATTGAACAATGCCGAGCAGCAACAATCAATTGCGCGTCCATTTTTTCCTCCGTTATAATCTCAATAGTTACGCAAACAGGAGTGCGGGAAAATGTTGTCCAGCAAAGAAGCGTGTGCATGCTATTGCCAAGTAGTCGCAGGTGAATAATGGTCGCGATTGATTTTAACCAGCTCTAACTTACATTATTATTGGGCCGCGAATCCCAAATGATAAGCGCGAAAAAAAGGTCACAGCTTGAGCGACACCGGCCACGACCAATGCTGGATTTCTCCAAACCACGACTGAGGAGGTGACAAACCGGCTTAGCCCCTCCAATCATCGGTGTCGTTGCCAAGCCGAGACTTGGAGACGCGAACACTTGAACTGTGAAACTGTCGGCTTTTTTTTTTAAGTGCGGCTGTAGTCCAAACTCTGTATTCTTTCCATGAGCTGTGACTCTTGATCATGAGCTGAATCAACTAGAAATTGAACTGCAGACTCCAATTTATTCGCGGGAAGCCAACTTCGAGCTGGAGACTCCAGGATCGTGTGGGAGACTCCTAACAATGAGCAGCAACATTCTGGTGACTCTTGGGATGTCTGAACAGTCCATTCTAGCATGGATCCGGAGGCTTGGTCAACCCGGCATGTGCGGCGTCTATACCATTTCCGCGTTAAAGCCCTCCTCACCCATGGCACACCTGTCAACGCCGTATCAGTGCCCTACCTTATTACAGACCAATTCAAACCGTATTGATCACCCCGTGCCATTATAAATCTCAACGTTCATCCTACAAAATTCCATTACAAGGGAGAAACACAAATAAATAGACCGGGTTTTTTTTTTTTGCCCGTATTAAAACGGCTGTATGCCGTATGGACCTGAAAACTCAATTTCCCTGTACAAGAAATACGGGTAAACCGTATGGGTTGACACGGTATGCCATGGAGGTAGGAAGACACGTTTCAGCACACCACGCTCACCCCTCACTCGCTACCCCTCACCACGCCACGTTGTTCCACACCATGCCACGTTGTTCCACACCACGCCAAACTACCCCTCACCACCACCTAACACTATCCCTCACCACCACGTAAAACTACCCCTCACCACCACCTAACACTACCCCTCACCACCACCACCACCACGTAAAACTACCCCTCACCACCACCTAACACTACCCCTCACCACCACCTAACACTACCCCTCACCACCACCTAAAACTACCCCTCACCACCACCACCACCACCACGTAAAACTACCCCTCACCACCACGTAAAACTACCCCTCACCACCACCACCACCACCACGTAAAACTACCCCTCACCACCACCTAAAACTACCCCTCACCACCACCTAAAACTACCCCTTACCACCACGTAAAACTACCCTTCACCACCACCTAAAACTACCCCTCACCACCACCTAAAACTACCCGTCACCACCACCTAAAACTACTCCTCACCACCACCTAAAACTACCCTTCACCACCACCTAAAACTACCCCTCACCACCACCTAAAACTAACCCTCACCACCACCTAAAACTACCCCTCACCACCACCACCACCACGTAAAACTACCCCACACCACCATCTAAAACTACCCCTCACCACCTAAAACTACCCCTCACCACCACCTAAAACTACCCCTCACCACCACCACCACGTAAAACTACCCCTCACCACCACCTAACACCACCCCTCACCACCACCTAAAACTACCCCTCACCACCACCTAAAACTACCCCTCACCACCACCTAAAACTAACCCTCACCACCACCTAAGACTACCCCTCACCACCACCACCACCTAAAACTACCCCTCACCACCACCACCACCAAGTAAAACTACTCCTCACCACCACGTAAAACTACCCCTCACCACCACCTAAAACTACCCCTCACCACCACCACCACCACGTAAAACTACCCCTCACCACCACGTAAAACTACCCCTCACCACCACCTAAAACTACCCCTCACCACCACCACGTAAAACTACCCCTTACCACCACCACCTAAAACTACCCCCCACCACCACCTAAATCTACCCCTCACCACCACGTAAAACTACCCCACACCACCACCACCTAAAACTACCCCCCACCACCACCTAAATCTACCCCTCACCACCACGTAAAACTACCCCACACCACCACCTAAAACTACCCCTCACCACCTAAAACTACCCCTCACAACCACCTAAAACTACCCCTCACCACCACCACCACCACCTAAAACTACCCCTCACCACCACCTAAAACTACCCCTCACCACTACCTAAAACTACCCCTCACCACCACCACCACCACCACGTAAAACTACCCCTCACCACCACCTAACACCACCCCTCACCACCACCTAAAACTACCCCTCACCACCACCACCTAAAACTACCCCTCACCACCACCTAAAACTACCCCTCACCACCACCACCTAAAACTACCCCTCACCACCACCTAAAACTACCCCTCACCACCACCACCACGTAAAATTACCCCTCACCACCACCTAAAACTACCCCTCACCACCACCTAAAACTACCCCTCACCACCACCTAAAACTACCCCTCACCACCACCACCACGTAAAACTACCCCTCACCACCACCTAAAACTACCCCTCACCACCACCTAAATCTACCCCTCACCACCACGTAAAACTACCCCACACCACCACGTAAAACTACCCCTCACCACCACCTAAAACTACCCCTCACCACCACCACCTAAAACTACCCCTCACCACCACCTAAAACTACCCCTCACCACCACCACCTAAAACTACCCCTCACCACCACCACCTAAAACTACCCCTCACCACCACCTAACACTACCCCTCACCACCACCTAAAACTACCCCTCACCACCACCACGTAAAACTACCCCTCACCACCACCTAAAACTACCCCTCACCACCACCTAAATCTACCCCTCACCACCACGTAAAACTACCCCACACCACCACCTAAAACTACCCCTCACCACCACCTAAAACTACCCCTCACCACCACCACCACGTAAAACTACCCCTCACCACCACCTAAAACTACCCCTCACCACCACCTAAAACTACCCCTCACCACCACCTAACACCACCCCTCACCACCACCTAACACCACCCCTCACCACCACCTAAAACTACCCCTCACCACCTAAAACTACCCCTCACCACCACCTAAAACTACCCCTCACCACCACGTAAAACTACCCCTCACCACCACCTAAAACTACCCCTCACCACCACCACCTAAAACTACCCCTCACCACCACCACCACCTAAAACTACCCCTCACCACCACCTAAAACTACCCCTCACCACCACGTAAAACTACCCCTCACCACCACCTAAACTACCCCTCACCACCACCACCTAAAACTACCCCTCACCACCACCACCACCTAAAACTACCCTCACCACCACCTAAAACTACCCCTCACCACCACCTAAAACTACCCCTCACCACCACCTAAAACTACCCCTCACCACTACCTAAAACTACCCCTCACCACCACCACCACGTAAAACTACCCCTCACCACCACCTAAAACTACCTCTCACCACCAACACCACCTCACCACACACCACTTCACCACACACCACCTCACCACACACCACCTCACCACACACCACCTCACCACACACCACCTCACACCACATCCTCACACCACACCACCTCACCACACCACCACCTCACCACACACCACCTCACCACACACCACCTCACCACACACCACCTCACCACACACCACCTCACCACACACACCACACACCACCTCACCACCTCACCACACACCACCTCACCACACACCACCTCACCACACACACCACACACCACCTCACCACACACCACCTCACCACACACCACCTCAACACACACACCACCACCTAACCACACACCACCTCACCACACACCACCTCACCACACACCACACACCACCTCACCACCACCTCACCACACCACACACCTCCTCACCACACACCACCTCACCACACACCACCTCACCATACACCACCTCACCACACACCACCTCACCACAACCTCACCACACACACCACCACCTCACCACACACCACCACCTCACCACACACCACCTCACCACACACCACCTCACCACACACCACACACCACCTCACCACACACCACCTCACCACACACCACACCACCTCACCACACACCACACACACCACCACCTCACCACAACCTCACCACACACACCACCTCACCACAACCTCACCACACACACCACCACCTCACCACCCACCACACACCACCTCACCACACACCACCTCAACACACACACCACCACCTAACCACACACCACCTCACCACACACCACCTCACCACACACACCACCACCTCACCACACACCACCTCACCACCACCTCACCACACACCACCTCACCACACACCACCTCACCACCACCTCACCACACCACACACCTCCTCACCACACACCACCTCACCACACACCACCTCACCATACACCACCTCACCACACACCACCTCACCACAACCTCACCACACACACCACCACCTCACCACACACCACCACCTCACCACACACCACCTCACCACACACCACCTCACCATACACCACCTCACCACACACCACCTCACCACAACCTCACCACACACACCACCACCTCACCACACACCACCACCTCACCACACACCACCTCACCACACGCCACCTCACCACACACCACACCACCTCACCACACACCACACACACCACCACCTCACCACAACCTCACCACACACACCACCTCACCACAACCTCACCACACACACCACCACCTCACCACAAACCACACCCCACCTCACCACACACCACCTCACCACACACCACCTCACCACACACCACACACACCACCACCTCACCACAACCTCACCACACACACCACCTCACCACAACCTCACCACACACACCACCACCTCACCACACACCACCTCACCACACCACACACCACCTCACCTCACACCACCTCACCACACACCACCTCACCACCACCTCAACACACACCACCACACACCACACACACCACACACCACCACAACCTCACCACACACACCACCTAACCACACACCACCACCTCACCACCACCTCACCACACACCACCTCACCACAAACCACACACCACACACCACCTCACCACACACCACCTCACCACACACACACACCACCACCTCACACCACATCACCACACACACCACCACCTCACCACAACCTCACCACACACACACCACCACCTCACCACCACCTCACCACACACATACCACCTCACCACACACACCACCACCTCACCACCACCTCACCACACACACCACCACCTCACCACAACCTCACCACACACACCACCACCTCACCACACTCACCACACACCACCACCTCACCACACACCACACACACCACCACCTCACCACACACCACCTCACCACACACACCACACACCACCTCACCACACCACACACCACCTCACCACACCACCTCACCACACACACCACCACCTCACCACACACCACCACCTCACCACACACCACCTCACCACACACCACCTCACCACACCACACACCACCTCACCACACCACCTCACCACACAGACCACCACCTCACCACACACCACCACCTCACCACACACCACCTCACCACACCACCTCACCACACCACACACCACCTCACCACACCACCTCACCACACCACCTCACCACACACACCACCACCTCACCACAACCCCCTTCACCTCGCCGCGTCCCCTCTCTGGCAACA